GTCCTGATCCAGTCTCTTTTAATAAACACTCCTAACCAACAGCATGCTTTTATACATGAACTGTTTGCTTGAGGTTTTAAATGCGTTACGTCCTTCCAACTAACGCCATCGTCTAATCAATTGCTTGCGTGCCCTGACTTTGTTCAACAAGTCCACAGAACCTACCCTACACAGTCACATCCATATCCATGTCACCCATCCCTTGGCAAATTAACGAGAGAATTGACTGCTAGATCCAAAAAAATAATTAATGATAGTTAGTAAATTTTTGATAATTTTTTTGAAAAATAAGTTAAAAATATTAATTTAAATTATTATAAATTTAAAAATTTTAATTTAAAAAAATATTTAAATATTTAATGTAAATCTTATATTGTAACAAAATTTTTATTTATAACTATTTAAATTAATATTTATAATTTATTTTATAAAAAATTTGGTTGAACACCTAACTATCATTAATTCATTCATTTCAAATTTAACTGTCGTTCTCCCCAAATTAATTGCACAAGCAAAAGAGCAGTACACCTAACCCTAATGAATTAGTGTTTGGAGAACTTGAATTTTTATAAATTAGCTTGCAAATTGGAAGTTGAATAAAAACTAATTATTATAATATGATTTATGTTTAAAATTTTTTTAAACATAATTTAAAAAATTAAAAATTCCTTAAATAATATATTTTAAATGCATGTTTGAATGCAAATTGAATAAAAATCATATTTGTTTCATAATATATATATATATATATATATGTAATTTGATCTATTTAAGAAATGAAAATATTAAAAATTTAAATTAAAAATATTCAAAATGAAAAAAACCTCTTGTGATCACTAAAAAAATTACGAGACTTATACTAAATTTGAATTAAAAAGAAATTAAATAAAAGTATAAAACCCAAAGTTTCTTTTAAACAATAAAACCTAAATTTAATAAAATTATAGCAAAGCCCATGACATGCGCGCAATGGCACTTGATAAATATTTTTTTAATTCTATTTATAAATTATTTTTAACATATTTTATCAAAATTAAAAAAATTTAAATCTCATGAAATATGTCTTAAAATTTATTAAATTTTTATCTTTATTTTTAATAAATATTTTTAAATATTATTATTAATATTTTTATTTAAAATATTTAATAAAGATAACAACGTAAAGAAAAGCCTTGTAAAATAACAAGTGTTTTATAAATAATTTTTTTTTCTGTTTCATAAATTGGACAAGGGGAGTACTACTTTTCTTGAGTTCTTGACTTCTTTCCTCTTCACGGCTCCGACTCACTCTTTCACCTGCACACAATCTCACGACAAGGCGTGACTACCGAAGCATTAAATGCAAGATTAGAGATTAAAAAAATAATAATGCAACATAATGCAAAAAGTAAAGATGCTTTTACATTTGGCATAAAAAAGGCTGTCATCATCTAAACGAGTGATTAGTTCTCATGTATAGCAATTATATTAAGAGAGGTTTACTTTTTTTTTTTGCCATATATCGAAAAATGATAACAAGATAAGTTGTAACTTGTAGATGAATGTCTTGATATATTTTCATAATCTCTTATTGAATCTGTCTCTTGCTAAATACTGTTAAGAGGTTCAAGTGCCAGTAAATTTAATTTGACATGAAAAATTTGACTTTGAATAAAGTTGAATTTAATGATTAATTATAATAAAGAAAAAAAACCAAATTTAGGGTGTTAAAGTTGAGATGACATGTTGTTCCTTGTATTTCGTCTTTGCCTAATTTTTCTCTCCTCTCATTTGCCCATTCTTGTTGAGGCATCCACATATTATATTGCTGTCCCAATTCCAACAACACGCTGGCTTCCTTTCCAACCATACTGCAAAAGTATGCTCTTCGACATGCTCCATTATCAAGTGCTTTAGTTACCTAAGCACAGAAATTATATTAGTGCTCGCTCCATACCCACACATGCTGGGAGCTTTCATTATATAAATGATTTACTAAAGTGCATAAAAGCCGATCACCGGTCTGTCTAGGAATCCATTAGCACCAACTATAGTGTTCGTCATTAACATTTTAGCTCAGTGTCATTGGCAGAGGTTTTATTATCAAATCATTTAGTTCATCATCAGCACGTTACTGGACAACCCACTTTAGTTATTCTATATACTTTATTCACTGTGGGGTCTTCTGAATAATATTAGCTAGCAGCCACCTGTACTTCATTGCCTGTTTGTCGGAGTGGACGGCCCTTCTTTCTTACATTGATTAGCTCAGCAGTTGGATATTTTTTTACTTAATTGATGCCACAACTTATCTCATTAAGAAAAGGATTGGAAATAAAACAAAAAATGTAAGACTTAAAGTCTAAGGACCTTTCCTCTGGATTCTATCTCTTGGTAATGACTATTTTTGTTGGAGTAAAAGATTCTTTAGCGTTAAAAAGCGTTTTGTTGTGTAAAGATTATTTAGAGTTTCTTGTTATGAAATTCAAAAAGAAAGTGACGATGCATAGAAATATATATATATATATATATATATATAACAGGCTCAACTCATGACAAAATATTGCCGCCTTCAATCCATTTTCTGGGTAAAAAAGTTGTGCGAAGATAATGTTACTTGAAGCTCTCTTCTCACTTTGTGATATGAATAACTTTTGAGATACGGAGCACCATAATGAGGTTGGCTTTCCCACCTGACCCACTCTGTTTTCTCCCAATTATTTGGTCCTTCGGTCAAAATGTGAACAAATCACACTAGCATGCATTAAAATAGCTGCCCTGGTGAAAGCTCGAGGACCCGCACTTGGCTGAGGCCTATAGCCGTTCAACAAGAAGCCAGCCACTCAGCTCAATTCCAAAAACTAATGCTAATAAAAAATTGAATGACTCATTGGATAAACTCACCAATCAATGCCTTCTTCAAACCCATTTTTACTGAGAACACATCTCACACGGCTCACCTCTCTCGGCTATGAATATTTAATACTTCCTCCGGCCCCATTTATAAATCCAATTTTAGAAGGTGTATTTGGTCCCATTTATAAGTCATGGTGCATCTTTTTAGGTAATATTTGAGAGGTATTTCCAAAATTACCCTTCATGAGAAAGAAAAAGTAACAGGACATTACTTTTTAGATTTGTTATATAGGGGCATGTTTGGAATTTTACTTACTTTTATTCCTTATACTTTTATTGTATTGGTATTGATAAGGTTGGTAGAAATGACTTATAAATAGGACCGGAGGGAGTACATTGAAAAAGAAGCTAGCCCATGATGTGGATAAAGCGAACAACCGTGAATTATATGAACAAATTAAGGATATATGTGAGCAGCAAACTCTATATCCTTGGCAAGATTACTGCTTTTTTATCATATCAATAGCATTTTGAAATTGGGACGGGACTGGGTGCTCCGACCATTGATCACTCAACAAAATGGTTTGGCTCAACTATTTGGATCACTTTTACATTTAGATCAGAACTGGATTTGACTTGGATAGAGAAGTGGGTCAACCCGATTCAAAATTAAAAAAAAAATCTAAATCCCTTATATTTTTAATTTCTCTTCTCTAATCTTTAATGCTCTATTTGGATGGGAAGAAAAGTTGAGAGGAAGAAAATGATGAGAAGAGAAAATTAAAGAGATCATATTATCATCCCTTTTATTTGAATGAACAAGAGAAAAGAGGGAGGAAAGAAAATAAGTACATGATATAATGTCAACAATACCCTTATATTAAATTACGTTATACGTCTTAGGTTATTATCTAAAAATAAATTCAAGCAAGATATCTCATTTAAAAATCAAAACAGATAAAAAATTAAAATAAAATATAATAGCCCGCAAGAAATCAAATTAACGTTACTATGCTTATTTTTTAAAACAAAAATGGAGAAAATGATAGTCATGAAAGTGGAGATGAATATGTGTGTGATGTTGCTAGTTTAAAACAGTGTTATGAAGAAAGTTTAGAACCAAGAAGATCAAGAAAAAGGGAGGATAATATTAGAATAAGGATTTTCTTCTCAAAATCTCTCCACATGAGAGGAAAAGGTGGTGAGACTCACTTTTTATTTTCTTCTCAACTTTTTCTTCCTTTCAATTTTTTCTTCTCAATTAAACGAGAAAAAATATGTTTTCTCTCCTATTTTTTCTTTTAATTTTCTTTTCTCTCGTAATTTTTTCCCAACCAAATAGAGGCTAACTTTCTTCTATCTTTTCTTTTCTAACTTTTGATCTTTCTTTCATGACTTAGACTCGATTTTTGATCTCTACTCTAGCAATCTAGCCTTGGACATCAAAATTATAAGCTTATGAGTCATGACATAACAGTATGTTTCTAGCTCTAGCATTTTGTTTTAAGATTGTGAGCTTGTGCTGACATGTTTCTACCTCCAACTCCAACAATTCAGGTGTCTAGTGTTTGGCATTAAGATTCCAAACATCATTGATAAATTAATATTTTATTTTTATATTTATATATATAAATATTATTTTTATTTAATTTTTACGTTATTGATTCGACCCTCGGTTGAGCAACAAAAATTACAACCCATTGCTTTCTAGTATGATACTGATGCAGGTTTCAAAACATTGCATATGAGGAAAGCTTCAACTTGAAGCGTCTTTCATGCTTTACCATTTTCATAGACTGAGTTAATTTTAGGCATTAATATTCCAATGCTACTCACTGGTAATAATGACTGAAATACTAGAGAAACAAGTCACTGTCATTTCTCTACAAGGGAATTAAGTACAGTTAAAGAACGAAAGCGACGTGGGAGCTGCGAATGCTTAATGCAGTAAAAAAACGAAATGGAAGGCCATTGGAGTCATCATTATGCGATAGACAAAGGAAAAGAGCGGAAATATGGGGTGCGTGGCGTGGCATTAACGCGACCAGAGCAATAAATGTTGGGCTTTGTGGGTGGGTATCACTCACTTGAAGGGTCACAATTGATTCTTGCAACGTTGATGATCTGGGTCCATGACTGTTGGAGTTTGGTGGGAGTTAGGCAACAGAGCAGGGAAGAGCAAGACTTTTATGGCATTATGACAAGTCACGTTGACACTCACCTTAATGAAATCTTCTTCCTTTAAAACCCTCTCAGAACCCATCAATTGGATTTCAGTCCCTTTCTTCGGATGCCCCTGTTTCACACAAGGCGAGCTGTGAGTGGATTAGACTTTCAATGAATTCAGGGGACCCGCTTGGTCTATTTCTCATCGTCATCTTCAATTTAAATCAATCTCTGCCTCTCTCTATGCGTGCGGAGTTTTTTAGTTGTTTGTTTTGATCCGAGTGTGTTGTGCTGTATTAAGAGGTTAAGACTCTGAAATTGGTATCCAACTCAAATCCACCTCTTTTCGGGCGTTTTGGTTTTGATTCTTGCGGTGTCTTTTTTTCTTTTCGGGTGTGATCTTACCAAACAGTGCTTGTGTTTCTGCCTCTGAAAACCTCTCCCCAGTGAAAATCTAGTGACAGCTGCATCCAACTGATCTCTCATTTTGTTGGGGAATTCACTGTATGGAGATGCCAATGGCAACCAAGAAGCGTTCTTGATGTTTGTTCTCTGCTCATGTGGAATTGCTTCTAACGACCAGCTTTCAAAGCTTGTGGCCTGCAGACCATACAAAACTTCTTCTTACTTCTCAGAAATCATTTTATAAAGCCATTAAGCAGCAATTTCGTCTTTCGCAGGTGGATCTTAATTCCTTTTGTTGTTCCGATTTTCACTGCTGTTGCATTGTCATATCTTGAAACCCAGCTTTGATTATTCTCTTCTTACAATACAATGTTTTACTTCCTAATATCCCTTCTCTCCTTCCTCATCCTTTCCAAGTCCTTTACCAGTAAGCCTCTCTCTCTTGGATTTTGGTTGAACCTATCGAGTTCATCAATTTTGGGATTAAAAAATGCGGCAGCGGCTTCAGTCTCTATAAGGTCCCTTTAACTCCAACTATGCCGTTGAAGAAGCAGATTTCAGCGTCAAAGTTGGATGATGAAGGTGAGGCAGGCAAGATTTCGCTCTTGGATTTGCCTGAACTGCCACTGGAGAGTATCCTTGAGCGCCTTTCACCGGCTGAGTTATGTAGTGTGTCAGCGGTGTGCAAATCTCTCAGGGATAGATGTCAGAGTGACTATTTGTGGAAGAGACTCATGAAGAAGAAATGGGGTAAAGTAATTGGTGATTCTGCTTATCGACAATGGCTAAGCCACATAGCTTCCATAAACACACACAGAATCTTGCACCAACGCAATCTATTTGGTTCCTTTTCATGGATTAAACCGAAATCTCAAAATGGTGGCCTGGAAAGGAGGAGGGATTCTGCCATGGCCTTGTATATTTCTCTCACAAGTGGCAAGTTTTGGTTCCCGGCTCAAGTCTATAACCGTGAGGTAATTGGCGGCACAAAATCTTCATCATACTTTCACAAGGTTGCATCAAGTTTTATTTATGCATGAAGTTTCACGGATACAATCCTGCTTTGTGGATACTACTTAATTGTTACTCACTGGGGTGGTTGTATTACATAATCTATCATTTCAGAATGGTCATGCTGGGTTCATGCTCTCATGTTATGACGCCCAACTTTGCTATGACTCTGGAACTGACACCTTTCAAGCAAGGTGAGAGATTAAGAGCTTTGAGAAACATGCATAAACTTCATTCTTGGTGCTTGAGCCTAAAATGGGGGGGTGCTTTGTGTAGGTACTCCCCTCATGGCCGATGGGCTGAGGAAAATATACCGTGGGAAAGACTGAGAATGCCACCTATTGACATTTCTCCTCATGTTCTTTATACCTCTGACTGTTTAGCTGACTTGAGACCTGGAGATCACGTTGAAATTCAGTGGAGAAGAAACAAAGAATTTCCTTATGGTATCTTTCATTGCTTTTGTGCTTTTTTTGGTAATAAAGTGGGGATGCTGTTCTTTTGACCAGCTTTTCTGCATCCATGGGTCCACAGTATTCTTATGATTTGTCACTTAAAATGAATACTAGCGGCAATTTGGTAAAGATATGTATTCCATTATATGCTTCTACTACTCACATACACATACATACATATATTGTAAAAAAAAAAAAAAATGTGCCATTACAGGTTGGTGGTATGGCGTTATTGGTCACTTGAAATCATGTGCAGAGCATGGGAATCATTGCTGCTGTCACCTTAGCGGTAAGAGGATCACTTGTACCATTTAATTAAAAAAAAAAAATTGTTTGGTTTCCAAGTTCTGTAATCTGTTGTACAACATAGTAAATCAGCTTTCTTATGTTGATCTGACATGGGTGTAATTGGATTTACGCTGTTATCTTCTGGGGCAATGAGTTCATAGGTTGAATTCAAAAAAAGGTTAATGTATGGAACTTCACCGTCAAGTCTAAAACAGTATTGCATGTAAATTAATTTTATCTGGTTAGAACTGTTGATACAGCATACAGGATACAGCACTTGTTATATTAATGAACTAAATTGATTAACCAAAGTCCAAAAGCCTATCCTTTCCCTTGATAATAATTATCCAAATTCCTCCTCCTTTTTCCATCTAATCCACATTCTGCAGGGCATGTGACTCTATAAAGGACATAGGCTAGAGATTTGAAATGCATTTATATCTCTCTTTAGATTCAAAGCTGCAATTCTTGAACGGTCTTTTAAGATGCGATTACCTGACAAAAGAGTAGTGTGGGTGACAGATACGGTGATATTGGAGTTCAAGCAGTACAACGCTGGATCCCGATGGAGACAAACGGTGATAAACAGGAAGCACCACAGAGAAGAAGGCAACGAAGTGGATGGTTTTTATGGAGGAATCAGGAAGCTACACAATGAGGACGAGATCGCAAGATGGAACAACCTCTGGCCAATCAGAACTGTGGAATAGATAGCATGCCTCGTACTGATGCTTTACAACTTTGTAAATTTACCCGAATGTGGGGCACATTGTTCAAAGAAGTTTTTCCGATCATAACTGATACACAGACTTCATAATTTTGTTAGCTCTCGCTTTGAAAGAGTTATCTGGGTTAGGATTTATAGCTTGCAAACATTGTGATGCAATTTATGTACCGTCACCTGACATAACAGATTAGTGTATATGTTAGTTACTCATAGTCGTTTATCTCCTTCGTAATGAGTGCCTTTTCGGACACAAGCAATTCTATCTTAAATTAATAATTAATGGAACATCATCATTGCGGACACTTGTTGAGAGAACATGAAAAATTCATTGATGTTCAAGATTTGATCAGTTTTCGAGTTAAAGGATTTTGGTGCTAACAAAGGAAAATACCCACTCATCTTTTAAATGTAAGAGCTAGTTAAAAAATGTTTCAATATAAAATGTAAAATCTCAATTCACTTTATCTCTTCAATTTATATATTTTGTCTTCAAGGGAAAATTTCATTAAACCCTTTGACCAAATTTATTTACTGTCAAACATATAAAATTCTAAAATATCAGTTCAGTTTTTATAAGTCTCATTTATGTTAAATTGAAATTAAGTTTTAGAGGGAAATGACACAAATAATCCCAATCTACTTGAATAAAATCAATTGAACTATAGAAAATAAATTACTGATGTATAAAACTCATTATTTTTTTAATAATATCTAATAATTACTTAAAAAATATTAAAGCCCCATGCACATCATTGATTTCTCCTTCCACTAATTTCTCCCTCAATTGCAAGGTCCTAAAAATAGTCAACCCATAATGCATGTATTCATTGACTTTAAATTGTATCAATATTTTTTTAAAATAAATATTAATAAGTTGGACCCTTATTTAAATTTAAATAAATTTAATGATTATTTTTGTGCATGAATATAATGCAAATATCCTCACAAATAAATTTTATTGATTTTTTTCATTTTGCAATAACCTAAAAATAATCAACACATAAAGATTAAGTCCATTGATTTTAAATCACATGATTTTTTTTAAATAAACTTCAATAAGATAGAATCCATATTTAAAAATTTAAAATTAATGATTAACATGAAAATATAAAAAATAATTTTAATTTTATTTTGTAAATAAATTGCAAAATCTGCTAATTGTTGAGGTAAAATAGCTTTGCATCCACATTCTTTTTATCTTTTTTTTTTCAGCCAATCAAATGAGTTCAACTCTACCTCTCCCTAATTTGAAATTTCATAATGAAATCAAATTTTAAAATCAAATTGCATTTAATTGCAATGATAAAGTATGACATGGCTACCATTGTTCTATCCCCCCTCTCTACCTTCATATATTTTTCTCCCACTTCTATTTCATCATTTACTTTGGCAATGTTTCTCTCTCTATCTTCACATTGCTCTCCAATGGTTGTAGCTCCTTGATCCTTTGATGATGGGTGGTCTCTATTCATGCTTCTTGACATCAATGAGTTGATCAAGATCACTCTTTTAAATCTGGTAATGATTTCCTCAATCAATAATTTTTGATGTTCCATTATTTTATTATTTGGAAGAGTAAGATGATATTTTTTTTAATCACTTGATGAGTCCCTTTTTTAAAAAAAATGTTATAGTTAAATTTAGTTGTTTTAATATTTAAGGAATTTTTTTTTTATCTTTTACGTTAGGTTATTGGTTTCTATATAGTACTTATAGAAGTTTTTTTAATATAAATATAGTTTTTATTTATATTAATATATGAACCTTATGTTGTTTAATTTTTTTTTAGCATATAGATGATGCTATGATGCTACCCAAACTCAAAAACGTGGGTTTTATGTCTTTTGAATCATGTTAAAGATAGGTTTTATTCTTTAAAGACTGTAAAGTGGAGGTTTTTGGGTTTTTTTCCAACCAAAACCATGACTTAGATATAAACAATTGACTCTAAATCAATATCCAAACATGCACAAAAGCTATTGGAAATCAATTACTCTCTCCATTAAAAAATGTAAAGCATTTTTAGTTGAATCTCACCTTTTAATAAAGTAGTTACCTACTTTCAAACAAATACTATCTTTTCATATTTATCCCTATTAAACACCCTACAATAAATATAAAGTCATTCATTAATAAGGGTATTTTAAGAAAAAATGTAATAATTATACCTCAAAAGACTAAAAATACCTTATATTTTTTAATATTGAATTCTTCAAAAAATATCTTACATTTTTTAATGAGGGAGTATAGTAATAATATCACACATAATTATTTAATTGCAAACACATTATTTTTTTAATTTAAATTCTAATTTTGAACTTAAATACATTCATCATGCAGCTAATTCAAATTTGCAAAATTTTTAAATAGTCAATCAATGGTAATTGCATTATTGATTTTAAATTATGTCAAAGTGATGGGAAATAAATTTCCTTAAATTGAATTGCAAATAATTATTGGAATATGAATATATTATTTTTCATTTTCTGTATTTTTTAATTTTGAATGCATTTTTTATTTGTGGGATTTATCTCATTGTTTATTTGATTATAATATTTGTGTATCTATCTCATTATTTGGCTGATCCCCTAACTGCTAATGCTTATAAGAATGTATACTTTATTGGGTGGATAGTAACCCTGTCAATTTCTTAACTTTGTCTAATGATTTGGCCATGGATATCATGGAGGCTAATCTGGATGTGAAGATATCTTCCAATATGAGCAATAGATTGGGTGTGGAGTGATTTTGCTACTTTGCTTTGTTTTGTAGTTCTGCTCTTTTGATTTTTACAAACTCTTTTGTATGTGTAACAGTCCTCTGGGTCACCATTGCCTCTCCAGGATCTTTTTCCAGCGCTGGACAACACACATGTCACCATATGATTGCCGGCTTTCCCACTAGTTGACTCAATGGTACCAGACTTCGCCTCGACTTCGTTAAGGTGGTAGAGGTTGGAGGTTTGAGTCTGGGGAGGTTTCAAAAGACCCTCGTGAGGGTAGGGTGAGGAATAACTATTGTACCACCAGTGGGAAAGTCGACAATCATGTGGTGACATGTGTGTTGTCCAGCGCTGGGAAAAGACCCCGGAAAGGCAGTGGTGACCCAGAGAGCTGTTACAAAAAAGGTGCCTTTTATGTAACAGCCCTCTGGGTCACCACTGCCTCTCCGGGGTCTTTTCCCAGCGCTGGACAACACACATGTCACCACATGATTACTTGACTCAATAGTACCAGATTTTGCCTCAACTTCGTTAAGGTGGTAGAGGTTAGAGGTTTGAGTTTGGGGAGGCTCCAAAAGATCCCCGTGAGGGTGGGGTGAGGAATAACCACTGTACCACTAATGGGAAAGCCGGCAATTATGTAGTGACATGTGTGTTGTCTAGCATCGGGAAAAGACCCTGGAGAGGCAGTGATGACCCAAAGGGCTGTTACAGTATGCGTGATGATTTCATTTTGAATGAAGTATTCTCTTAGCCCAAAAAATTACTTTGATTGAAATGAATAAACAAGTAATTAAGCTTTAGCCATCAAATAGGTCAATGTTTTTCTAAAATAAATTTTAATAAGATTGAAAAATATTAAATTTTAATATTTTTTGAGTAAAACACTCTAATTACGTTTTAGTTTAGGTTAATTACACATGCATCCCCTATATTTTAAAAACATACAATTTAGTCTAATTTATTAAATCCGTTAAGAGTCTTTCATATTGCAAGAATATTCTAAAAACTTGTTTTTTAATTAAAATATATATTAAGACAAAATTTATCTAGCTTACCGCTCACTCTAATAAATCCCTAAATTAATTAAAAAACTTATTTTTAATTATAATTTATGTAAAAACAAATTTTATTCACTAATTTAACCCACTCTAATATATCTTTGAATTATATTGTTATTTTTATGGTTACATGAATTTCATTTCGTTAAAAAAAATAACAGAATTTAAAAGTTTTTATCATGTTTGTTTAAACTTTTAAAAATTACTTAAATTTGGAAAAATGTCATTTAAAATGCAGGACATACAAAGATATTAAATTTTTTTAATAATTAAATAATAAATTATTTTATAAAATAAAAATTATGAAGATATCAAAAAAAATTAAAGATAACTAATTAATAATAACTTTTTTTATAATATTAACCAAATATAAAATATTTTTCTTTTTATAAAATACTTACAAAATTAATCTCTTTTTATAAAATCTCTAAATTATCTAAAAATGATTTATTTTTTAATCTTATACAAAAGGATGTATAATTTGACTCTTAACTTTCATCTACCCTTTCCAAAAGACATTTTCATGTTTTATTGCCTTTTGCTATAACCATAAACAAAAGCTAGGGTCAAAGCATACTTAGCATTGTATTATATTTACCAATACTTGTTTTTACACATGACCAACTATATATTGTTATATCTTGTGTGTGAAGATCAACTATATGTTGTTGTATCTTGTGTGTGAAGTAGGTAATGGTTGAAGATGTTAATTATTGGTATAGATGGTAAATCTACAAATGTTACTTTCAACATACTCCCTTTGATCTTATTTATAAAGTAAAGAGAAAAGATTTTTTTATTTATAAATCATCTTATTAAATTTTTATCTCAAATATCTTCATTTGACCTTCATTGAATGTTGAAAAGAAAAAAAAATTATTAAAATATGTATATTTAATAGGGATAAAGTTAAAAAATTATTAAATTTTTAGACAGAATTAATGAATTTTAAAATTTTTATTTGTTCTAGTGAAACATATTGAAAGTATTATATAAATAGGATTAAAGGAGTAATGTATACGGAGATTTTTAATGATCTAACTTAGGTATGGTAGCTACCTATCCCTTGAGGTTTTGTACTTTTAAATTTTTTTAAATTTTTATCTATCTTTATTCTGTGTAACAAATTGCTACATTCATTTATTTTTTATGCTTAAAATTTATCCAGAATCATGTTATCCCCTTATTTTTTTTCTTTATTTGGGTTCTTACATTTTATTTATTGATTAAGAAGTTATTTCTTTTTATTACTTTACTCATATAACTACTTAATATTAATTGATTATCGTTATTTAACATTTAAAATAAATTGTAAAAATAACATCCCATGCAATCCATGCAATCCAAGGATGATCAAGTAGTTGACATAAAAAAAGAACAACTGATGTTTTTCGTGTCATTTCCTTAAAAAACTTGATTTCAATTTTGGCCAAATGA